CCATGTCTACTTGTTAAAGAAGACTACTAACTGTTTCACTTTATTTTTGTACCTGATGATGTATTTACAGGTTGTACAGCAGCTGCTGAAAGCCGGGGCTGATATGACCCTGTGTGACTCCATACAGCAGACGGCGCTGCATGTTAGCCCTCCTGAGCTCCAGGGGAAAGTTTGGGGCTGGATGTCAAGGCCTCATCTGCCTCCCCAGGCACAGCTGCTGCAGGCTGCCTGGCAGGGAGACCTCCACTCCCTACAGTACCTGCTGGTGAGACTCTTACCCTAACCCACACAAACACAAATTTAGCAGCACTACTACAGAGCAATCCAATCCCTCTTATACATTAATTTAAACCCTAGATTACTGTTTTTGTGTACAAAATTGTCATAAACAAGTTAAACTTTTAAACACCTTCATTTCAGTACACCACAAAGAGCTATAGAAGTGTTATAGAAGTGTTTTGTGTGTGCATGTCTCACTTTCAGAAGGACAGGTTGGACGTGAATGCTCCGAACGGCGACGGTGTGACACCCGTGATGCTCGCTGTTCGGGACATTGACCTCTTCGAGGGCATAGCGATGATGTTGCCATGGGAACACAGACCTGTTGAAGTGGTCAAAGAACTGCTGGGACACTCTGTGTAAGAAAAGCACACATTCATGCATGCTGATATACAGAATATTTTACAAAATATTCAACTCAACACAAACTTTTTGTCACAGTTTAACCTCCTGCAGCTGTTACTGTCCTTTCATTCTGTTTCTGCAAGAGAAGTTGAACCCTACGATGCTTCATAAAGACTTAAAGCTGCTTTAGCATTATTTCACTTCTAACTAACGTGTTCATGCATTTTTAAACATCTGATTTCCTGGAGGTGGACGCCTTTTTTTTTTTTTAACATGATCCCTTTGTATCTTATCTTTGCATTCAGAGATCTGCGGGTACGAGACCAAAGCGGCCGTTGTGCTCTGGACTATGCTGCTGAGATCCACAGCCCTCTGAAGGATGAGATCATTCATGTGATGGTTGAGGCCTTAAGACACACAGGTACACATTTACACTCGACAATCAAAAACTTCTTTAGTCATTTTTCCAGAGTACACTGGATCAAATCACTCTATCTAATGTAAATGGGATCACTTGAAATGAACTGGAAAAAGTTTTCTCTTCTGTCAATACTGACTGCAGTGGACAGTGTTTCAGTGAGAGGGCTTCAGTTGAACTGACTGTGTCGTATCTGCTATAGGACAAAGTTGGCAATTTGCTAGTGGGTATACAGCGGTACTTTTAGCAGCTACTGAGGCAAATACTTCCATAAGGAGTTGGTTGAGACCAAAACAGGGCTTATAGAATCAGAATCTGGTTTTATTGCCAAGTACATTTACACATACAAGGAATTTAGCTTGGTGTATTGGTGCTAAAAAATTAAGAAAATAACGCAGAACTAGCAACAACTTAAATGACACAGTATAAAAAGCTATTACAATATATAAAATAGAATTAAAAAATGTAAAATATAAAAAAATAAAAATAAAAGACCCAAAATGTACAAAAAGGTGCAATGTAGGAGCTGTGTAGTAGATTATGAGAATCTTATAGTGTATGTAACCTACTCAGTGTATGTAACCTACTCACAGAGTGCATGTAAGAAAATACATTTAAAGTCCAGTGGGCGTTAATGTAAGGCATAGAGGTAATACATCTATCAGGAAGTTAATTAAATGAATATGAATGTTTCTCTGTGTCTGATAGATTTGGAAGTAGATGTCTATTGTTTGCTAGCAAGTTTCCCCCATTTATACTCAGCAAGGTCTGATGACAACCTGTTGACACTGAAGCATACACTGCAAACAAATTCATTGATGCCACTTACCGTACATGTCATTTTTGATTCCAACATCGCAAGTTATCTGCTCTGGGGAGGTAAGGATTTTGAAGTAATAGGTACATGCTTTCAGAATTATTAGGATTATTAATAATTAAAGTACATGGTGTCCACTGTCCATATTGAAAGCTGAGATGAACTCTGAATTAGACCCCTTCCACTTTTCCTACAGGCATGGGCGGGGTACAGATGATGCAATAAATAGCATCCCCCCATCTGACTCTTAACCACCTTATAGACCCAATGGCCCCTGTTTGTCATGCATTTGAAAACTGTTTTGGTATTACATAACAACTAATTATGTTGTCATTGGATACTGCAGGCAACACATAGGCTTGTTTTATATCTCTGTCTTCCTGTTACATGAAATTAACAACTATTGAAGCTAAGTGAGCCCTCATGCTAGATCACCTACTAATGTACACTTCACATGTAGCACATCCTCCATTTCATGGCCATGTGTGAGCACACTCCCTTTTTCCCTATCTTTCACACACATACATACACACGAGCAGCATACCAAGTTCATTCATAATCCTGTTTTTCAGAGTTAAACCTCTGCAGTGGCACTCAAAGCTGCACTTATGTGGGAGGTGATAAGAAAGGCTCATTTGTGTATTTGCAAAACACGCCGCCGAGAGCCTTCAAGAGACTGTGTGAGTCAGAGTTTGTATCAAGGTTGCCAGTTCAGAAACAATGTCATACATGGATGGGGAAAAGATGAAAAACAAAAATTGGTAACCCATTGTGTTTTATTTTTTGTGGCCTGTTACAACACTTCTTTTTCCTCACCTTGTGTAAACACAGGGGGTATGCACATGGTCCCCACCCATTGGCCCTCTGTGGTTGTAACAGGGAGGCAAAAAAGGTGCAGTGTTCCTTATTTATTCTGCGGTATAGGATCTTAGGGTTGGAACTGTTTGATGATTTTCCACAGATGGTTCCCCAATGTCATCCCCAGCCACTGATACATACCCCTGCCAGGATTTGGAATCAGAGTTTGGAGACTTGGACATAGAGTTGGACCTTGAGAGCCTTCATTCTGATCAGTCGACAGCTGTCTCCACCATACAGTCACCAAGCCTTCAGACCAGCCTTCTACTTTACAATCAAACAGGGGTAAGTGATCAAAAGCAACACACTCAAGAAGAAAACGCTTTTAAAATGTCACTTCTATATCAAGATGTCAAAGCTGTTGGAGAGAGGTGTCCTGTATTTGGTAATCGATTGAATGGTATGAACAACATTTGTGTAAAGAAAAAAATCAGCGAGAATACACTTGTGAATTAGCTTAATAATGTTTTTAAACATGCATATGCAAGGGTGGATAGAGTGATAGGCACAAAAACAGGAGCCTCGATTAACAGACATACAGGCAGACTGGCAGTGAGTCGTCAACCACTACACAAATATGTGATGTGTGTGTGCGTGTGTGTGCGTGTGTGTGCGTGTGTGTGTGTGTGTGCGTGTGGAGGAGGGGTGCTCTGGGTAGGTGACACTTAGTTGCCAAACTGCTGTATTTGGTGTCATCATAGATGGAGGAGACAAGCAGGCAGCTGGTTAGCCTGCAGACAGGAGCAGGTGGTTTATGTGGAAAAGCTAACATGTTCCTATCTAAGAGGCACAATGACACGGTCTTCTACGTAAAGAAATAGATGGTGTTTATGTAGATTAGATAAATAGATAAGATTATGATCATTGAAATTATAAGGTAGACAAGAAACCACAGAGATTTGTACATTATATATCTTAATCTAAGGCTTGTTTTTTGTTTTTTTTAAATTGGTGCCTTTACCATGATCAAAAAATGTCCTCTTTGGTGGTTGAGAGGCAGTGCTGTTTTTTTAAATATTTTTTTTATCCATTCTCTGAAGTCCATACAAGCTTTTATCAAGTATTTACCAATACAATGAGGACCCAGGAAAGTGACATTTTCAATACTCTCATAAATAAGGGCAATGGTGTACTCCTTCTGGACGATAGTTTTTCCAATTCAAGTTTCTTAATTCTAAGGTTTCTTGTTGGTTCTGAGGTTTGCTAACAGACGGGGAAAGAACATAAATGAAATGTGGACTTTTGTGTCTTTCAGGAAGTGCTGGACTCTCCAGTGCACCCGCCTCTATTTGACCACCATAAAAGCCTCAGTCAAGGTAAGGACTATAAAGAAGACTCCTGGAGTTTTAGTGGTTTGACCGGGTAAAGATGTGAATGGTTGAGGAATAAAAAAGCTAAACTTTTGTCCTCTATATGTTTGTTGGAGATGGACAAAATTGTATCTTTAATCAATGTGGATAACATGGCAGAAAAAACACATCCAGCTGGAAAGGTTCCTTAAATGTCAACTAAGAGCTCCAAACAAATCACTATTTCTTCTTTTTGACCTTTTTGGCAGAAAATGAAATATACTTGTGAGCTCCCAGTTAGGCCATCACATAGGCCAAACCACCTCCTGAAGGGAGGGGAGTGAGGGAGGTGTGTTTGGGTGGGAGGGGTCTCAAACACACACACAATACCACCTCTCAGCTGAGAAACCTGCCCTGCCTGGGTCGGACCTCAGTTCAAAACAGCATAGTTGAGAAGCAGAGTTAGAAGAGGTCACTAAGAGTGTAAGAGGGAGGAATGGAGATGTGTAAAATATAGAAAGCAGAAGGAGAGCAGAGAGAAAGAGGAATAACACAAGGTCTGAATATGGGAGAAGAGTGGATTAACAGGCCCAGCAGCAGGTAATGCATGCTGTTTTCATATTTATTTAATAAGGAATATTAATATGAATATAATGTTATTGTATATGTTGTGTATTATCATATTCTAATTGATAAAAGTTTAACCTAAACTTACTTGTTTATGTCATGGCTACATAGTGTGATGATGTGGCTTTGAAATCTACACCCAAATGTATAGGCTGAATGAATCAGCAGTTACATTAACTTCAATATCCCCAGAATAATATTTTACTTTGTAATGTCTGACCGAAAAACTGCTTCAAAAAGACTTACCAGTTAAGAAAATAAAATGTGAAATTAAATTACAAATAGATTTTCCAAAACACATTTGTTAAATCTTTGTAGGACATCTTTGTAAATCTTTGTGTGTGTGTGTGTGTCTTGAGCAGATAAGGGAATCCCCCTCTGTTTCGAAAACACCATGGAAACGCTGAGTGACATCAGGCAAGTCTACCAGGACACAGGCAGGGGCAGCAGGTGGGCGCACACACACACACACACACACACACACACACACACACACACACACACACACACACACACACACACACACACACACACACACACACACACACACACACACACACACACACACACACACACACACACACACACACACACATATACACACAAGTGCACTGGTATTCATTATAAAGAAGCATGACAAGCTGATGACACTAAGCTGTTGATATTGACAGTGCAGACATGCGGACACATCAACATCTGTTCATACGTAACCCCCAAACAGTTGTGTACACACAAACATTTAGTATGCGTACAGTACACACTGCATCCCCCTCCACACACTCACAGCCTCTAGTATAAACAGCATACCCTACCCTCGCTGGTCAACAGCAGCCCTTTACTTTCACATTAACAGTACATCAGTGTCATATCTGGTTTCACTCCTGTCCTGTATGCAAGCACCTGTCACTGTGTCCAGAGGACAACCTGTTCTGCCCAAACAGGTTAGAAACACAGAGCCAGGGGGAGAGAGGGTTTTGGTGAATCAGCTCATTGTCTGTTACGTGGGGCTCTCACCACTGAATCGAGTCCAAGCTCTCCAAGGAGAATAAAGGTCTTTGAGCAGGTCTCTTATTACATTGCATCAGCTCCCAGAAAACAGAAATGGGATGATAATAAGGACTTTGGCATTATCCCTATTTCAGCACAGGATAACAAAATCCCATCAACATTTGAAACTCTATTCTGATTTTGTCGATGTCAACTGTGTGAGGCAAAACTTATCATTCTGTGTTCTCCCCTTTGTGTTTGACAGAGGAGGTATGTCTTTGCCAAGCCTCAGAGACAACAGGAGACGCTGCAGCCACCGAGATCCTGCTCCCTCATCTGGTTTACTGAGTACCAGGACTTCCTGCCTGCCTGTACCCCCTAGACACAAGTGAGTACTATTGCTAGCCTGAAATTCATCCTTTTAATATTTATTAAGAAGGGCTGAGCAATAGCGAGAGTGCCAGTAATTAAGCCTGTTTGAAACTGTCAAACATGGAGAGTAAAGTTATAAAAATAATTCCAGCCTTTGTCTGTCACTGTGATTTAAGCTGCACTTTGTGGACCTAAGTCAAGATTTAAGACTAAGAAATTCTGGGTTTGGTTACATATTAACTCCCTTTGCTCAACTTTTTCTTTGGCATGACTCCCAACCCCCACAACACTCTCCTAGCAAGAGAAAATTAATTATTAATCAAATACAATTACTGAACTTGATATTTGAACAACAATGGTAGAACAGCTGTTTCATATACATGTATTGGAGTACAAATGTATTCATTGGATGTTTTTTTAATTATGATTTTGTTCCTCACAGGCAGAGAACAAGAAGTGTGATTCCTGGGTCACCATCCTCCCCTGTCCGGCTGTCCGTGCCTGAGCCCAGCCAGTTAAGCCAATCAGCCCCCAGCATCATGGAACCCCTTCTGTGTTCAAACACCATGATGCAAGCCAGAGCACACATCCAGACACGTAAATAACTGAATTAAAATCAATTAAAACTAACACTAACAACAACTACGTCAATAGAGGGATGAATTTATATTTCAATAGCAATAAAGGGATGAAGAGGTGGGGGTAGGGGTCAAGGAATGTAGGATGAAGGGAGGGTTAGGGTCAATGTATGTGGGATAAGGGGGTAGCAGTAAGGGTTGAGGTATGTTGGATGGGGGGGTAAGGGTAAGAGTTAAGGTAAATGGGATTAAGTATGAGGGTAGGGGTTAAGGGATGTAGGGTGAAGGGACTAGGCTAAGAGTCCAGGAATGAAGGGATGAGGTTAAATTGAGGGATATGCAATGCAGGTATGAAGATAGGAGTCAAGGAATGAAGGGTTGAGGGATGAGAGTAGGAGTTGAGGGATCTGCGATAATGGTAGGGGTTGATTGATATTACATAAAATAATTAAGGTAAGGATGTGGAATGAGGGGATGATGGTAGGGGTGACGGGGTTTGGGTAAAGGTGAAAGGAATCAGGGATGGATTTTGGGGAGAGATGGCAAACTTTTGTCAGTTGGTCAAGTGGGGAAGATGGAACTGACTGGGTTGAGACAGATTGGGTGAGCAGACATTTAGAGCTGTGACATACTGAGCCCCTATTGATTCTAGTTTTAATCAATGGAGGAAATAGACAAAAGGAAGAAGGGGGATTTTTGGGGGGTGGATGTGAAAGCAGAAACAGAGGGAAACAAACTGATAGTGATTTGGTTATATGTATGGCAGAGAAATAGGATGTTTATGAATCATGGTCTTTGTTCCAGAACCTTGTATTACAAAATTAATTTAATTTGAGAACAGAGAAGGAGTTTTACTTCCTTTTCATCATGATGTAAATATTTAAAACCAAAGTTGCTTGTTAAGTGTTTTAGTTGGAACATGTTTTCTGCCTGGATTTTGTTTTAAAATCTTTTGTTTCTCGTCTGCAGGACTTGGTTCTCAAAATACTTTACAAAAGGTAAATTTCAATCAACAGTGTATCAGCTTTACTTTTTCTTTTGTAGTTTGTCTCCTTCAGCAATCAAAAACACGTAATAACTGTATATATCTGTCTCTGCAGTTCTCACAAAGCATCTTGCCAACTCTGCATCCAAGAACACCCAAACTGTTGGCACCGCTAGGGAGCAGGTGCAGGGATGTTACAACTCTGTCAGGACTTAAGAGCCATGTTCCCCTGAAACCCATCAGCCAAAGTCCACTTTGCTCTAGGACCCATTTGAGGAGAGAGAGACTTGGATTTACCAAGGGTGGAAGCGAGGAGAGTGGTTCCAGTAGCAGTATTAGCAGCCAGAGCTCCATCGACCTGGAAGATTATGAGGTGGAAGACAAAAATGACTTGACTGAAAGAGCTTCAGTGGAGAGCCATCTTGAGTTTTTGGGAGGCAGATTGCTGCAGCATTCGAACAATGTGAGCTCCTGTGAAGCTGATTTGGTGGGGAAGACAAGGCAGCGTTTTAAAGTTCAGCAAAGATCAAGTGATATTCCACCAATCCACAAATCAGCACCTGACCTGGATGGAGAGGCTATCAATCAAACAAGTTATCTCATTGGCGCCAGGAAAGATGTAAACTGTTACTGTGGCGATGATGCTAACCATGTGAATTGTGCAACCGAGTCTATTGAAGGTCAGACCTTTAAAAAATGTAACTATGCACAACAAGGAGGCATTATGAATGCTACTAAAGATTCTGTGATTATCCATGGGACAACATATAAAAATGAGAGTATGATGGTTTCAGACTCACAAGTGAATAACAAAAATGATCTGCACATTAAACGGACAGAAAGAACATTGCAAGATTTGCACTACAAAGAAACACTGGTAGATAACCTGATACCTTGTAGGGAGGATGTAAAGTTGGACCTAAAGACGGCTGAAGATGAAACTCAGCATTGTAAGCCAGCTGGACACGTAGATGCCCAGAGAAAAGAGTGGATGTTTAAAGTCTTAAAACACGTCCAGAACAAAGAGAGAACAGTTGTGAACTGTGAAGTAGAGGCAAATGTTCAAATAAACCCCAAGTCCTTCAAAATGCTATTACAAGAAAACAGGATCAACCCCAATCAGATAAAGACCAAAGGGAAACTCAAGAATTCATCACTATCCACACATGCAATAGCTAAAACAGGACAAATCCATGAGCCGATAATCAGCAGGGAGAGAGTTGCAAAAGTAAAATCCAAGCTTAACTGCATGAAAAGCCCTCACTGTAAAACTGTCATACCAGCACAACGAAATAAGGTTACTTATCATTCACACAGCAAAAGAGGAACTCTTGACAAGAAGGGATCATCAAGGTCTAAATCTGCTGTTGATTTCCTTACCTACAAAGACATGTTTCAGCAGATACAGAGTGGAGACAAAGGACCAGCCATTTATGAGATGTTTGCCAGTCCAGTCTATGAGAACCTTAGAGTTTCCAGTTCCTGTGAGAAAGTTAAGGACAGACCAGTGCAGTCTGCACCGACTCGAAAGAAGAATAAAGTCAAACAAAGACCTTTCAAACAAGCACAGACTAAGCTGAGAAGAAGTCCGGCAGAAAGTACCATGGTTTCAGCCAAAAGCAAAACCAAAGTCGCGACACCAAGGGTGAAACCTCATCCAACACCTGTATCAAGGAAGGGCGCAAACAAAATGGACGTATTGAATGGGTACTCAGAGGCTGGGCTACTTCCCCATAAGGAAGATGACAGTTGTCATGATACTTCTCAAGAAAAGGTTAAGTTGTCTACCATAGAGGAGGATCTTTCACGATACGGGTCTGATACATTGAAATTCATTGAGAAGAAAACACCAGCATCTTCATCTCATGCTCGAGAACAAAGGTTTATGCAAGAGAAAAATGGGATGTCTTCGAAAGGAAACTCAAACCAATCCGTCTCTGAGTCATCTCTCAGCCTCCAACAACCCAAGATCAACACTTGGACATCCTCAAGCAGCGATAGCAAAACCATCATGTCTCCAGTTTACCAGAAGTTTCTGGATGAGGTTGGGGATGGGCCACTTACAGATGACCTACTGCAATGTCTTGCAGAGGAGCTTATTTCATTGGATGAGAGGGATGTATCCATAGATTCATGTCCTGAAAGCTTGGAACCAAGGAAAGAGGAGTCCAACAAAGATGGGGATCCTGTATTGTGTACATTTTCTAAGGTAAAAGTGACATGAAATGTTCTCTTAATAAAACACTTTTATGATAATTGATGTGGTAGAAAAGATAGTATTTCAAGCCATGAAGGAGGGTGTCAAGAAAGCACCTCAGGGCCTTGAAACACAAGGTTCAATTCCCTTATTCACCATATATTACATTGAAATCAATACATCGATATTAATTCAAGAAAAATTGAGTTGTTAAAAAAACTAATCTAACAACCTTAATCCTTCAAAACATATACCAGTTATACTTAGAAACTAATATAAAGGTCTTGCAAATAAAAGATTTTGTAGATTGTTGACTTTATACTTTTTATTTTATCAGTTTGAGACGGTTCTGCCTGGCTCTGGGTCGGTTTTAGATGACACCATTACATGGACAAAGGGTGAAGTTCTTGGGAGAGGAGCCTATGGTACAGTAAGTATGCAAATTTAGAGTAACAAAGTTGAGCTACTTATTAAGGCATGACAACATAAAACAAACTACAGCAGACATTACTTTTCAACTTACCCTGACAGTCACTTTTGCTTTCTTACCAGGTGTACTGTGGTCTGACCAGCCAGGGCAGGCTGATCGCTGTGAAGCAAGTGAGCCTGGACGCCTCTGACCCTGATGCTGCAAAGAGAGAGTACAGCCGTCTTCAAGGGGAAGTGGATCTGCTTAAAACCCTTCAACACAGCAACATTGTGGGCTTCCTTGGGACCTCACTCTATCAGCATGTAGTTTCCATCTTCATGGAATACATCCCTGGAGGATCCATCGCTAGCATCCTTCACAGGTTAGGTGGATGTAGAACAGTCTTTTAATCCGTCTAGCTTTAGGAATGCTTCTTTATAACCAAAAAAAAGCAAATGGTTTTACTGACCTTTAATACAAACTGTTTGAATGTCTTCAGGTTTGGTCCCCTGCCAGAGCGTGTCCTGGCTCTATACACCCATCAGATCTTGGAAGGTGTGACCTACCTCCATTTAAACAGGGTGATTCATCGTGACTTGAAGGGAAACAACGTAATGCTGATGCCAACTGGTGTCATCAAGCTCATAGACTTTGGCTGTGCACGTCGTCTCAGCTGTGTGAACCACACTGCCAGCAACAGTGGAGATTTGCTCAAGTCCGTCCACGGGACACCTTACTGGATGGCCCCAGAGGTCGGTAGAGTTAATTTGGATGGTCTTAACAACTGTAATATGTACTTCATTTGCAGATAGACCTGGATTTTGCCGTTTTGAATATCGTTTGACTCAGCATGTTTTCTACTCCTTAGGTTATCAATGAGACAGGATATGGCAGGAAGTCGGATATATGGAGTGTTGGTTGTACTGTGTTCGAGATGGCCACAGGGAAACCACCACTTGCTCACATGGATAAAATGGCGGCCTTGTTCTACATAGGGGCTCGAAGAGGGTTGATGCCATCCTTACCAGATGGGTTTTCAGATAATGCAAAGGATTTTGTCAAAACCAGTTTGACAAGGTGAGACCTGTTGTCCTTTCTGGCCAGTGCCTGCTGTGAATCCCTGACCAATCTATCAGTTTTACCTATCAAATGCAACCATAGGATTAAATGACTAAAATGATTTTATGAAAATAATACTCTTCAGGAGAGTGAAATGTGTCAAATAAGATTCAATACACTGCATATTCTGAATCTACAGTCATGTTTGGTTAAACTTTTCCTTATTAACATTTGATTTCTCTCAATTCAAGTGACCCAAAACTACGGCCATCTGCAGAGCAGCTGCTTAAGCATCCGTTCATACCGCAAAATGGGACTGGAGTGAAATCTTGGCAAACACAGAAGAACGGCTGTGGTCACCCAGAGGGACTCTGTGGAAAATAAGTTTAAGGTGATATTTTATGATTTCACTGAGATTGGTTTCTGAAAACATTACCTATCCCTGGCACCAGCGCTGTGTATGGAAAAATCTGGTCTCAAGTTAACTAAAAAAACTGTCTGAAGAAACTGAGGCATTTTTTTTAAGATGAGGTTGAAAGGGAACTACATGAGAAGCACTTTTATATATTTGACTTATTACACTAATATAACTTATAAGATGTGAAAAGATAACATGCCAGACTGTTACTGACTTCTTTTAGATCAGTGGTTCTCAACTGGTGGGTCGGGCCCCAAAAAGTTGATCCCAGAAGGTCACTAATGTGTGCCATGAACAAGTGTTGAAAAGTCTATGAATTGCTTTTTAATCATACTACTCCAAACTATACAATTTTTCACTAATCTGACAAGTTGAAAATGTAAGAAATTTGGGTCACCATTGTTTCATGAAGTAGTTGGTGGTGGGTCCTGAGGCTAGACCAGTTGAGAACCACTATTTTTTTGAGCTCTTGTACATGTGCCAATCTTATAGATACCTTAATTTAAAAACTGTGCGTTGCAACTGAAGATCTCTTTGCTGTTTCATATTTAGGTTACATAACCTACTTTGTTAGTGCTAATGATGCTAAGTCCTAAGCTTTTGCTGATAAAATGTTACAGGGTCTGTATGTAAAAAATGTGTATGAGACATTCCATTTATGACATTTTCATTTTCTTCATCTAATGTAACAGCATGGCCCGTTATGTGCACTAAACCACAAATCAGCAAGTATCTTTGCTCCTCTACTCTTCTAGTAAGACATGTTACTGGAATAATAAAGTGACAAAAAAATACAGAATTTTTACTGTGTCAGGGAGGAGGCAACTTCATAGTTTATTTATAATGTTGAACTGGAAATATATTTTAAAAAAAAAAAAAAAAAAAAAGGGGTTTTCACATCTGCATGTGTTCTGATAATCTTTTGAGGAGGAAACAATCAATCCAGATCCAGGCTCAGCTTCCGTCACACTCTGAAATAAATAAGTTAATTTCAGGGGGGATATAGAGTTTAATGCAGGATATCGATGTAGAGACGTTTCTGGACAGTTCTGTAACAGTATATTTCTAAATATAAATTATACCATTGGATCAGGACATCTGTAAGAAAACCTATTAGCAACACAAAATTGCAGAGACTTGAGGTTTCCAAATAGCATCAGGTCATATTGCATACAACCAATAAGTCACTGCACAGTTCTTTTTTTCTGACATGTTTCCTGTAAATGGCTGATTTAATAAAACAAGTGTCCTCTTCATAGGCTGACATCTAAAGGCTACAGATTCATGTTATGAAATTAGGTTGGATGCACTTCAAAGTCAAAGGGGTTATGTAAACTTTAATAGCACACTACTAATATCTTTGATTTTTAAATTGAGGCACAACCTTTGGCATCCAGCTTAAGGTCTACTTAGAGGTCCAAAAAAATATTTTTTGGTACAAGCTGCATTGCTGTGATGTGGTAAAATTGGTGTTGGATGTGCCAGTGTTACTGAGGGCATCAACAGATCTTTCCTGTGGTGGAACAGCACATTACAGCACCCTCTACAGGAAGGCTGTGAGAAGCACAATCACTGGAATGCTGCAATCATTCAACTGATGATGCCCAGTCCTTTGATCAACAAAATAAAGGTTTTTATAGGTATTATAGTTATCTTGTTATACTTACAAGCAGCTCAAAACCTGAGTAGTCATGGTATAGAATCTTTTTTTTTTTAAACATACAAAAACGTATGCACATTTATCTTAACTTTCTGTAAACAGCAAGTACGCAATCTCCTTTCAAATCCCTTTGATGATTGAAACATGCAAATCATACGCACATCACTTTAGTATAAAAAGAAATCAACACAAGAAAGTAATTGAGGAGATGAAACTTTACACCTACAAAAAATATGCATCCATCAACAGTACTAAATGGAATGCCAGCAAAAATAACTTGAACTCATCTCCATCTGGCCACCGGCGTCCTCCATTCAACCGTAATAATGATTCAATTAAATTATTTGTTTAAAAAAAATAGAATGAAACAAGTGCATCTTTTATGCCTTTGTACTACATACTAATACTTTTTCCCATATGCAGATTTGAAATGTAGGTAGGGACTTGGGTTGACTGTGAAACGCTCAAGCCCATCCTTGCACATTCCTAGACTCACTTGAGGAGGAAGGAGAACCGAGCAGCAATTCAACACACTAAACAAAAAGACAGATTTGAGCATCACGACCCAGAGATCTGACAGTCAGGAAGCATAATCTTTCATCTTTCTTGTCTCTCAAAAATTGAGGAGTCCAACAATACTTTTTTTGCAGATACATTTTTCTGCCTTTCAGTAAAGGGTTTATAATCACATTGAGTTTTTTAGGGCACTTAACAGGGAGGTGAGCATAGTCTTCAGAGAGAACTCTGGGTAGTTTGTTGCCATTTCCATGAGCTGACCATGGCTGAAGAGTGGTGGAATCAGTGTCTCTGCTCTCCCACTTCATGTGGCGATTCACTAGGAGGCGGGTACTGCTGAGAGGTCCGCAGCCCACCTGGGTGTGACAGGAGGGGGGGAGGAGGAGGAGGAGGAGGAGAAACAAGAATAAGGAGGAGGAAGAGGGAGAAGGGGGAGGGAGGTTAGCCATAGAGCTGCAAGCCAGACGAGACACACTGCAGTACAGGAGAGGAGCAAGGAGGAGGAAAGGGGAGAGAAAAAGTTGTAGTACCTGCAGCACCAGTGCCACCCTTGGAGATTTTGCTCACTTTGGAGCAGGAAGTGACGAATGAGGAGGAAGGGTGATGGTTGTGGCTGGCATCTGGGTGTGCCCTCCTTCGTGATGAGGATGAAGGTAAAGAGGTGGATCCAGGAGCAAGCGCCGTCCCTTCCATGCCCATCAACCCTGGAGGACCTCGAAGCAGGCTTCCCCCGCCACCTGGACCCTCTGGGCCTCCACGTCCATTTCCGCTGTGTGTGTGTGGATGACTGTGCTTATGGTGGCGATGGAGGTTGTAATCAGCTCCTTTATGTTGTTTCTCCTTGCTCACCAGAGGGCTGGAATGTTTACTCTTGTTGTTTGCCCCCATTCCTTCATCTGAAGAGCTGTGCCGCTCCGATGACGAAACTTTGATCTTCATCTTAAGCTCATCTTTGCTCGCTTGTCCGCTTTTATCCAGCTGGGAGCTACCGCCAGGAACAGCCAGACGGAGTTTTAGTGAGCCCTTGTCCCGTTTTTCACTGTGATGACGTCTGTCTTGCCCTGATGTGGAGGAAGAAGGGACTTTCATTTTGACTGGGGAGGCAGTGGAAAGACCACCACCGCCAAGGGAGGTTTGGTGGGGCTGTGAGTGTTTTCTATGGTCTACTTGGCTTGTAGTAGATGGTGCATAGTTAGAAGAGGAGGAAGACAAACTATCCCCCCTCACATCACAGTCCATAGCTCCCCCATGCTGTTCCTGACTGCGCTTCTGCCCAGAAACAACCAGCTCTGCGGCATGTTTCTCTCTATATTTGTCCAGCGATAGCTTCTGAGCTGGTGAACGTTGGGGTGGAGGAGCTAGTGGAGGGTATGCAGACTGAGGTGGTGGCTGTAGCTTGCCCACACTGCTCCCACCAACACCTTTTTGTTCCTGTTTGACAGGGTTGAAGTCTGTTTTCTCAGTCCTGTATAGTGGCGGATGCTGAAGCAAAGAAGAGGTGGACTCTTGGATAGAGATACTGAGGGGTTCTTGTTTTATACAGGTGGAGGGGTACCCTGCCTGGGTCTGGTTGCTCTGGGGCCAATCACTGTGGCTAGCTGGATTGTATGTACCAGCCAAAGTGTCCAAAGACAAAGGTCCATCTCCGGATTGGCCAGGCATGGACACTGTGAAGATGGAGCCTGCTTTAGAAAAACTTGGGTTGGTGGTGGAGCAGGCATCACCTTGATCATGGAGCATGGAAGGCCCAGCAAAGGAGTTGTCCGACAACTGGGAGCTTTCAGTCTTGGGCTTCTTGGCAGCTTGTGTTGCCTGTAAGGTAGAATGAGATTTGTTATGTCCCCTGAAACTAAGGATGTATTTACAGTTTCTATACTACAAAAATTAATTTTGGCACTTGAGCTTTCGGCTGCTTTAAAGGTTTCCGATAGTTTTACACATATCTGTTACGGGTAGAGGATCTCTTTTACCTACCCGCCAAACATATCTTTTTAAATTATGGCACAATGTAGCAACATTTCCTACCCTCCAGTTGCGTATCCTTTTTAACCGGCTTGGCGTCTTCTCCAGAATCTGCAGAAATTCATGGGTCAAATCTGCAAAGCAAAAGGCACAGATGATGTCATCTAACTCAAATTTTGCAGCAAAATTCACCTGATGCAACTACACGTCCTCCTAATAACACTTTTAAACTACTGTGGACTAAGCAAAAAAAAATGTAGAAGACTTGAAGAAATACAAAGTATTTTAAAGTCAAAACTCACCATCCAGCAGCTCAAGTGTGACAGATTTGTCCACGTACTGCCACCAGTGTTTTCCATCAGTGGAAACTGGGATCTCCCAGTTGGACCACTTGCAGGCCAAGTGAATGCAAACGCAGGCAATCACAGTGGGCTTGTACTGGAGGCAGAAGGTAGTGAGGTGTAGACTGCGTAGTGTGCAAGAGTATTAGGAAGTGATTTGTGTGTAATGTGTGCAAGAAAGAGTGAAATGGATTTTTGTGAGGGGAGACAGTAGGTATGTGAGTGAGTTGATTCCGGGCAGGTGGAGTCGCCATTGGTCCAACATTTGAAGAGAGAGAGAGAGAGAGAGAGAGAGAAAAACAAAAAAAACACAAGGAACAGACAGCTTTAGTTTACTGCACACACGGGATGCAAATGACTAGCTATTAGGGTTTTGTTGATGCATTTAAGTAACACAAAACTTCACAATACAGGTGACAACGATCATAACTTTGAATCAAAATGTAAGGACACAATTGCAAACTTGCTTTAAGTGCATATCAAATGGCATTATGTGACGATTTATGTTTCAAAGCCCTTGGATGTTTTATAAAAAAAGCGGGCCACAGGTAATAGTCAAGTGCAGTCTGTCATTGTGAATGAATGAGGCCTGATTTGGGGCTAAAACACACAACACAATTAAAAGGAATTAATGTGGCCATTTAAGTACATAAAGCTTTGATAGACACAAAAAGCTAAAATATTTAGTAAATCATCCCTCAGAGCTTTGGTTCTTTTTCTAAAGGAAAAAAGTTAATCAATGGCTAAAATGGCTAAACATGAGTAAATTTGTTTTTTAGGAGAAATCATGGCTGCCCACAACTCTTCAGACAATTAACCCATGATTAGATTTTGTTTTTGAAAAGCATAGTTTCAATTCCACTTTGGAACAAAGCCCTGCCTCAGCATGAAGCTGAATATATAAAAGCTATTACACTGCATTTAAAAACATATTCAGTATGAGCTGAACGATAGCTTTTTTACCGTAAGCAAGTACAATGTCTGGAGTCTGACGGGTCAGATTACAGAAGCCTGATGTAAAACAAATCCCTTGGATGACAAAATAAATCTAAAAAATGTATTTGAATTATTTCTAATGACTGTTCCTGACTTTTTTTTTGGAATAAAGGCGTAATCAGGTGAAAGAGCTGTTTTTGTGAACTGTCACTGGCCATTGCTCTCCATCTAAACAAGTGCCAGCCCACAGAAACATTTCGCTGTTCACAGCCATCACCCAGACATTGTCAACCGATTTCAAGAAGTGGAAGAAATTGAATCACAAAACATCAATTCCTTTCCAACATTTTGTTCCATAGACAAACCCTTTAAGGACCCAGTTGTTTATACTGAAAGACATGTCAGGAAGATAATTTTGACCTTTGAATAAATTTCTCTCCAAATGTATTTTTGATCACTGTGAGAGGCATCCAAATAGTATGTATTACACATTCTGCAAATCCTTAACGGGTCAGGAAAAAGTTTTTCTGGTCACATCTTTGGAAAGAGCTTAATATATGAAAGAAGAGCTAGAAAAACGTTTGCATTTTTAAAAGGCAGGTAAGTTTTACAAAAGGTGGAAAAATATTTGAACAAATGGATATGAAAAAGAAATTTAAAAGTGAATTTGCGGTACTTACCGGAAAGACCTCTACGAGAAATGTTTACATCTGTGAAATCTTTAGCTGCTATTCAGGCTACCAAAGTGTCTTTCTTTTAGAATTATGCACTTTTTCGCAACCGAACAAACATGTGGGTTTCAAGCGCACCACTACACTTCACATCTTGCATTCAACCCATCGGTGCCAACACGTGGACCCTTGTACAATACACCGCACCGCGACTGGGGCCGGTAATGCTACGAGCCACCCTGTCCCGCTCCCTGTGAACAAGGGAGGGTTGCTGAGGGGAGAAGGCAAGCATCCCAACAACCACCAGCGCAAGTAGGGCCCGTTGGACACTGAAAGGGCACCCTGCATTACAGGAAGCTATGGTGTGCAGTCAAAGTGCAACAAAGGAGGGGCAGGATAACAACCTGTTGGTAGCCATGAAATAGGAAGTCTGTGCCAGATCCTTGCTTGCTGTGGGAGACAAAAAAAAAAAGAAGAGAAAAAACATAAAAAGGAGAATTACTTTTTTCTGCAAGGCCAATGCTTCTTTTATCAGAAGTCAGGAACTACACCTTTATCCTTCATTCTATTTGTCGATTTTCAATGCATTGTTTAAGACAAGGTCAAGACTGAAAGCAACTCCCAGCACAAAATGTTGCTTCATTTTGAAACGTTTAGCAAGAATGTCTTATCCAACAATCGCGCTGTAATTGTACATGTGATTTTCTAAACACGTTTTGCAATTTCATATATCTGTTATAGCAATTTAAAGTAGCTAATTACAGGGAGAGCATTAGTGTTTTATTACAGCTTATGCAATTAACATCACAATTACAATATCCATCACTATTTATTTCATTATAAGTGGCTATAAGTAGTTTACAATAACCATAATTCACCACATTTGATAAGTTGCATATTTTACAAACTTTCATTTCAACAAATTACAATTCAGAGTCGGTGAATGCAGTTAATGTGCTACGTCATCAAAAGAGCAAGGTGTGTTGTGGTCAGTACACCAAGAAATGAGCAAGGTTTTCACCCCCCTCCCCACCCATATCTGAGGTGGGACAAACATGAGCAGAGGGCACAAAGAGCAAAGAAGGAAGCCTCTACCTCGCACTAGCTGGGAACATTTCACCACATCAGTGTGTGGGTGATCAATAGTAATTTCAAAGCCTGGAACAAAATACACGACAGGTGAGTTCAACACAGACACAGTTGGTAGGTGACATGTCATTTTAAGATTAAACAAACAAATGTAGTGCTACATTTTGGGCTATGATTTAAGGTGTTGTGTATATTTAATGTACAAATTGATGGTTAAATCATCTATAGTCATCAAATCAGCCCTGAGCATCTTCACGTTGATATTCTTTGGACTTCAATGTAATGAATATGAGCGAGCACAAATTGTTGAAGCCATAAAACTCAAATTTAAAAATAAAATGGGGATTCAATTATCATAAAAAAAAGCCACTGTTTCCATGCTTTATGACTAATGGGTGAGAATGACATGTCACCTTTACACGATGTATTGAAAGAAATTACATGACAAGATACCCATACAGCAGCTGATAAAATAATTTCAATCAACAAGCTGTGATGAGTATATTTAACAGACAATAGTTCTATTATCGTACTGAGAATTACAAGTACAAGAAGTACAAGATAATGATTATAAGCAAAAGGCTATTTCTCTCTCTCTAAAGTCATCCACTCCAGTCAACACTACTTACCCAGGGTCTGCAGCACTATGGATTCAAGTATCACCAGCTCTTGAGCTTGCTGGAGGTATGCCTAAAGTTTGATAGACAGTCATTACAACACAATTGTAATGAGTCTATGACTCTATACCCCTACCAACTGATATTTAATGGCCAAAAACGCCAATCAAAGAAGCTAATTTTTTACCAATAATGATGGCTTTGTTTGGTGTGGTGTTTGACACAACAACGGCAGGCCAGGTCAGATAAATTAAGGCCCTTTTGATGTGTACTAGGGAGTTTGGCCCCAGCCACTTAAACATAAGGAACTGTGACCATTGAGAGAACTGGAAAGTCAGGTATAAATGGTACAAATCATGTTCGACCATACAGCACGAGGCGCCTCATGAACTTACATTGCTTTTTGTGTCTAGTGGCGGCTCTTGAGGATTCAGGCAAGCATGTGCTACTTTGATCACATGTTCCAGTTTCCGAGGTTGCTCCTCCACTTTCGCAGCCAAGAACAAGGTTGTCGGAGATATTATCTGTTAAAAAAAGCACACAGACAATGACATGCATACTCACACTGACTTACTCGGGTGTGATTTATGGAGCAGGTAACCCTGGCATGCTGCAAGCATGTTTCAGGTCAATGGCGGCGTTGTGTTTCTGAATACTTACATTCCTGTGGAATTTGGTGAAAGAATGTTGCATATAAAATCTATGCATGTAAACAATGGCGGTATTTATTGTTAATTGCGAGCTGGACGGGAGGTCAAGGAAAACATCACATTTGACTTAGTATATATATATTAAGAGTGGCAATGACATAGAAGCAATACACAGATGCACACTGGGCAATATGGCAGCCCTAAACAAAGGTTTAAAGTTATTTTCGTTAAAGGAAACCAGAAGAAGAAGAATTCAGCTAACGACACTGAATGGTAGGCTGAGTGATCTGAAGAGAAAGAATAACATGCTTATTAATAACTTCCGAGTATAACCATTAGGAATCCTTTAATTTGATGAACTATTCTCTCTATAAATGCCCCGGGTAAACACAAACTGCACATTAATAGACAAGTGGCTGCAAACGCAACTCGCGGCCCTGCAGGCGTGCAGCCTCAGCTAACCACTAGCATGCTTCATTAGCGTACAGCGAAACACAGAGCTGTGCCATTTAGCTTTCTAGATTAATGTCCTATTGGTATAACAGCATTCAAGCCTAAAATTGAATAAACACGTACAACGAAAAGTCCGGATTTATGCTTCTCTAACCTGAGCGCTAAGTGTGAAAGCAGCAGGCGCTAAAGGGCCCAAAAGCGCCATGTCGACTTCAAGGGATAAGTTTGTTTACAAAGGATACACGTTGAGTCGTTGACCCATATCTTGCACCAGGTTCGCAGCTTGTTGTCGATAGGAAAGTTCCCGGTCTGGTTCTACTCCACATCGGCGAGACGGCGTGCTTTCGAGCTGCTCCCGGGTGAAAAACCATTTCGACGAAGATCCCCGGCACGCCGCCATTGCTCTCCAACGTTCACTTGGGGCATCGAGAAAAGCGGAAGTGACGTCGTGTCGCACAGGAAAACACGACTTCTCCGCTGTTGTGTATAAATCACATTTTGTAAAATAATAATTATTTTTTAAATAATTTATACAGTATTCAATCGGGATCATCTCACAGTGGTCAATATTTATTATATGAAATCATATTTACACATGCCCAGGTGGTTAAACAGGGGGACAGGTGTGATGTTCATGTGGGGTTTGAGCACATTGAAGGTATAGCAGGAAATGAAAAGGTGGACAGGTTGGGAAAGGAAGCTGTAAAGAAAGAGAGGATTGATATTAACATCAAATTATCTAAGTCAGAGCATAGACTGTAAAAACAGTATATAATAGTCAGAGGGGAAACGAGTCACATGGAGTAAAATTAAACAGGAATGGCAACAATATGGGAACAATCAGACAAAGGGAAGACATTTCTACTCAATTCAGAGGGAAATAGATAAATGCAGAGGGAGCAACAGAATAGAGGAGGTCGTAATGACCAGGTTAAGAATTGGTCACAGTCATTTAAATAGCACTCTACATATCATTGGAAAACATTCATCCGGTCTTTGTGAGATATGCAATCGAGCAGAAACAGTTGAACAGTTGTAGTTATTAAATGTAGAAAGTATGAAGCACATAGACATAACATGATGTCAGAAATGGAGAGAGAGGGACTCGTAAGAAGAGATTTCAAAAGTATTTTGGAGTGTGGGGAGAGAGGGAGAGGCCGAAGATGCTTGTTTAAATATCTCTTGAGAACAGGTTTATTGAGGAGGATATAGGAATGTGAGTAATAATTAAATCCAACAGATGGCAGTAATGCAACTTTTTGGATGCCAGCTGCCAATAAAATCCAAAGAAGAAGAAGAAGATCATTTTAATAAAGCCTGTTACCGCAAGAGATATCAAATATAAAATTAACTTAAAACGTTGTAATGATTTTTGATATTTAGTTTTAAAACAAAACTAGTTTCTTAGGGGAATTAAATCACTATAGCCTACATTAATGATGACTTTATCCCAAAAAATTATAACCGAGTAATATTAGCTTTCTGGAACTCTGTCTAGGCTTTGATTTAGGCCTATTTAGGTATTGATTAACCAATAATGGTTAGGCCTGTTGCTTTGGGTTGAGTCCTTCCAGCTCAGTCATGAACCTGATAAATGTGTTTGTGGAGTAACTTTTATCCTCATTAGACAAGAAGACATACAAATGAAACATAAATGCCTATTATCTGGGGTATTAAGCAAGGAGGGCCTCTGTATAACTTTATGTGGAATGGTGCAAATTTAAGTAGCCTATCTTTTTTTTTTACAACAATCAGAGTCTGATAAGAATAAAACATTGGATATACTGTATGTAAGAATAAAGTATGGAGGCTAAATATCCCCCAACTGTAAATAATTATACTACAACACTGAGACTCTTCATGTGACTGGTAGATAAATGGGGTCCGAAGTCATATCGTATAAAATTACAGCTCTCAGAAAGATAACACCATCAACTGTCAGGTGACTTCAATCATAGGTTGAAAGAAAATTACCATGACCATATAAAAAAAAAAGATTGTGGAAAACAAGCTTATTCAAAAGTGATTGCGTGTCTGTTCTTGTACATTGGCGATAACAGTCTTACATTTCTCTTCTCAGAGCTACATGCAATTTATCATGAGTTCAAAGAAATACAACGTCTATAAAATTGAGGATAACATTTTTTTTAATTAAATGAATTATATGAAACAACAATAACATTGGTTTTCATAAAAGCTTATCATACATTTTTTTTAAATAGTCAAACAATGAATCTTTACTCTGATTCACTGAAGTAGCAGTTGTATCGCAGATTCTTCTGTTACTCAAATTTCTCTTCTTTCAGGCCCAAAAACTCCAGTGCATTTCCAGCAAGTAACTTATCCTACAAAACAAAAGAGTAAGCAAATTATTAGAAACATGATTTTAAATAAAGTACTATCACTGATTTATGTATATTTATACACTGATGCACAGGTTTGAGTGTAAAGGGGAGCAGAAGGAAATACATTTTATTGTGGGTAGTATTATACATGAATGAAAATCAAAACAGACAAGCACATCTCTCTGGGGATCCACAAAACACAGATAGGCAAAGAGAAGCAAAACACGGTCCACACACTAAGAAGCTCCCATTTGAAGGTTTTATTGTGTGACGTTTCGAGCTAACATGCTCTTCCTCAGACTTGGAGCATTATACCTGACCTGACACATGCACTGTGTCATTTTTTTCTTCTGTCAATAAACCTTTTCTACATTGTCATGTGTTTAAGAGTCCATTTATAACAACAATACTGAAGTTAGGGGAGAAAAATACTGATACCTTTAATTTGTCATCAAATTCCTCCATTGACTCGATCAGTGATCCAGGCTGGAGCTCACCCAGAGGGAATGGATAATCTGTTCCCAGCATCACTTTATCCTAAAAAAAAAAAAAAGAAAGAATATATGCACTTCAAACTGTTGTCAGGTTGAACATCTAATGAACACATGCACACATTCAAAGCTGTCTATCAACTAGGAATGTCATCAGTACAACCATTCTGGACTCTTTCAACACATTAGAAGAGCACTCTGCTACTTTCATGAGCCAGTGGGTACACAGTTTTTTAAAATCCAAAATTATTGCGTTTTATAGAGCTGACTTTCCACATGTCCTCTGTGCTAAAAACTGTCAATACTCCCTCAGTTTCCTCTCTGTCTGCCCTCTCTGACCACCATAAGTGAATTCAAGCTCACTTTTCCAATAACATCAACGAGCAGCTTCAGGGCAATGGGATCATGAACGAGGGAATCGGTGTAGAAAGAACCAAGGTATTTCCTGGGAGAGATCTTGTTGTCGACAGCACACAGGTCAGGGCGGACTGTGTGGCCATGTTCAATTCTACCAATGGTAAAAGGAAAAGATCCCCCTGCAACCATAGAAGCAATAAAGGTCAAACAACAACACGCAGCGGCTTGTTGCATCTTTAATTGAGCATGAAGTGAGAATACACTGAACTTGACACTTTAGTGCTAATGTTATTCTGCTGTGACTTTGTTTAATTCAACTGAAACATCTGGTCACTACTGTACCTCCATGTGCAAAGCAGACTTTCAGTTTTGGAAATCTCTCAAAGACACCTCCAAATATCATCGAGCAAATAGCCATGGATGTCTCTGTTGGCATGCCTGTAGGACGGAAGAGGAAAAAAAATGTAATCCAATTGTCTTGCTAAAACGAGTCAACACAAATGAGTTGATATTGGCCTTGATCACATCAATCAATACCAATGAAAACACAACAAAATACACTGATTTGGTTTGAGGACTTCAACTATAATAGAGGGGAAAAGTCAGTCAATACCAATGAAAACACAACAAAATACACTGATTTGGTTTGAGGACTTCAACTATAATAGAGGGGAAAAGTCAGTATAATTTGGGTTTGTGGTTTGGCTAGTCATGCATAAAGATTTGATTTGGGTCAATGTCTATCTCAGTGATTGTATTCCATGAGAAAAGTGCATCCTATGTTCTATTGACTTTGAGGAATTCAAGATTCCCTGTTCCTACTCAATCTCCCTCACCCACCAGCCAGGGCAGCCAATACTTAGCCATCCTCCCATCAGTCTGCATGTCCCACGGGTGCACAAATATGGAGCAGATTCCCTGTTCTACTCAATCTCCCTACCCACAGCCAGGGCAGCCATACTTAGCCATCCTCTCAGTCTGCATGTCCCACGGGTGCACAACATTATATCATCATGCTTGTAGTGCACATCCATTGTCTTACAGCATAGAAGGGGTAGAGTTCAGTGGCATTGAGGTCCCAGTTGTTGATATGTGAGCCTATCTGCACCCCAGGGAAACCAAGCTCCTTCACGCAGCGCATCATCTCCAGCACGGCTAGGTCAGGAGCTTGCATGGGCAGAGTGCCCAGGCCCACAAACCTCTTGGGGTGGCTACGTACTGTCTGTGCCAAATCATCGTTTAAAAGGATGCAGAGATCCAGTGTGTCATGAGGTTTGGCCTGCAATCCCAAAATAAACATACTAATAAAAGTTCAATATATTTGTGAAATGAATTTTGCAACATATCCTGTACATCCTAGTTTTAATGCATCTTGTCAATGATGAGGAATTTAGACAATTAGGATCCTTTTCTATAAATTTCAAATCATATGCCAATGGGTCCTTGCAAAAAGAGCCTGAAATATATTTTGTTCTTCAACAGGAATAGGTAGATGCAGCTCACAGTAATCTCGGGGCACAGTAAACAACTCAATGTTCCAGGTCTTAAGCACACATCAATAAAGCACATCTATTGTTTTGTTTTTGGTTTCCAAATGTCTCAGGCTTTGTGTGCACTTACCCAGTAACTGAACATCACAGGAACTGTAGAAAGGGCCTGAACCGTGACACCTAAAAGTTAAAAACAGATACAATATCATCGAGATAAAATACAATACTTTCTTATTTGAAAACTGCATTTACCATGTTGGTCCATGTCTCTAATGCGAGCACTAGCATCCCAGCAGTTTTCCTGAATTACTCGGAACAGCTTCCCATCCTTCATCATCTGTGCTTCACCCTGAAAAATAAAATAAATACAATGAATAAGCCCCCACAGATTAAATACACCATTCATGACAGATGACCACATAGAACTGTGGTACTGTCTGTATCTGCAGGGATTGTGACCTTGTTGTATTTTCTTTAAGTCATTAGCCTTTGGGCAGTGAAGCACCGAGCAATTTAAAGAGTTCAAACTGCATCAGAGGAGTTATTTACCATCCATTACTCCCCTTCTCTGCTGCTGAAACGCTGATCTATGCCTTCATTACATCTGGACTTGACATCTGAAATAGCATCTCTGCTGCATGCCTGCACACCCAATGCTCCCACATCACCTTTGTCCTGCAAAATCCATCCATTGGCTCCCTGTCCCTTACCGCGTCCAATTCAAAATCCTGCTCCTCACTCCCAAAGCCATCAACCACCAGGCCCGATCCTACCTCAATGACCTCCTACACTGTCACACTCCTTCCCGATGCCTCTGTTCTTCAGACGCCAACCTCTTGTCTCCACTTCTCAGAACCTAAAACCGAACGTGGGGGGGAACAGAGCCTTCACCTCCCTCATCACTCTTCACAGAAAGACTGCACTGACCCATCTTCATTCAAATCATTGCTTAAGACTCACAATGTAAAATAAGCTTTTAATTATTATTATTATTACTCTAAATTATATGAAAATATTTTCTTTTGCTATCCAGGGTCAGCTTATCCATCTTGCTTTTGTGCTGGTCTTGCAAGCTGTGCTGGTCTAAATAGAACTGATCCGCGGGCCAGTCTGATGTCATCCGCCGGCGGGTTTTACCATCATACATAAAGAACAAATACCTAGAATAGTCCCTTAAAGTGTTGAGATTGTTTGATGGTTTTAATGACACTTCAAAAAACAACCAGATGATGGCAGCAGACAGCTGATTCATTCTGATGCATAGAACACTAAAACAGATTTATACTTGGATGAACATTTACAATCAACATCTGTATCTGCACCTGTGTAAAAGTGTGACCTTGACTCCTACATCTTGTTTAACATCAGCACCAAGAGACTTAACAGATGTTCAGTGCCAGGCATGGCTTGTGTCTAAAGGCATCAGTGTGACACCTTCAACTATTCTTCCATATGTGCTGTCTGCTGATGGCAAAGGCTCAACCCATATCTGCCACTGAAGGTTTCACTGCTACAGAGAGCTATTTGAAGTGTAATATTTTGCTGATGCAGCGGCTCCGTACTGAGTTCTGCAGCTGCTCACATGGTGAGGACCAGCTGAAAGGCCCACAGGGCGGGGTGCAGCCTGCAGGTGAAACCTGCTGTTTCCCCTGCATCGGATGCATTTCTGCCTCGGGTCCCCTTGAGCAGTAATCCAACAGTACATTGAAGAATATAAAGTGTGTCTCACCTTGCAATGATGGTGAAGCTGCACAAATCCATCATATCCATACCTCTGAAAACATAAAGGAGTAAAATGTAGAGAATTATGTTGTTGATCTGAAAATAGCAAGTACTAAAAAAACACATTTAATGCATGGATGCTATTTCTGTTCTATTTAATTAAGATGTAGAAACTACATTTTAAATGGGCGTAGGTTAGTTCCTGCAGGCATCACACTGAGGAAGACCTTTTATTGATTGTGTTATCCCATCTGTGAGGGTTCAATCTTCATCCTAGAGGACTATCTTCTCTAACGCACCGGATAAAACAAGGAGGCTGCTGACTCCTTTGCATACAGATGAAGCTGAAAATGATCAACGTTGGGAGTACAGCCAGTAAAGCCCCATTTTTTCTTCATATCAGGACAGATCCACAGCACTGTGTACTTTATTGGTACACCTCAGAGAAGCTGCAGCTTTTTAAAATGCCAGATGGGTTCAACACCCTTCTATACTTAGAGTGTGAATCTATTTCCTCAGCTTAGATGGATGCTTACCAGCTTAACAGTAAACACTATAGACATACAGAAATAAAAACACTGTGTTATGTTGTGACCATACTTTCTTTAACAGCTCAAAAACACAATGAATATGACCATGATGCTTCATTGCCTTTGTTATTCTTATTAGACATGCTGAAAAATGAACTGACGACATGTTCAAACCTCTACAAAAATGATGCATTAATTATATGCAGGTGGAATGCCAATTTGATGACCAATATTATCCATAGACATGCCCACATATAAAATACATCAAGACTTGTTTAATACATAGGGAGCCACCCTCCCTTAAGGGACTGAGTATATTGGGCTCTTATGTGAGAAGGGTCAACAAAGATACATGGATGCATCTTCGGCCCCCAAGGCTCCAGTCTGCACACCTACTTTTCTCCACTGTACTAAACATGGGAAATGATTAGCCAAGGGCCGGCCTCCACAGTGACACAGACATAAGAGCTGGAGCAGATAGGACAGGGGAGAGCAAGGCCAAAGCCACTTATTGATTAAAGTTTAACCATCCATAGAGAACACAGATTTATGGAGTGAGCTGTTAAACTCCCCACTGACACTCCAATGGGACAAGCCTGTACGTCTGTTTTACTGCCTTCAAGAGCATTGAATTAAAGTGAAGCTGTGCCTGCTATAGAGCTGAACAAACACAGATGTGTTTCTTTTAAAACCACTCGACCGCATGAAAGAGAGCCTATTGATTGTGATTTACCTTAGGCTATTACAAAAAAAACAAAACAAAAAAACCTCTCAGATCCTTGGTGAGTTTGTGTCTCTGGTTGCCTACCTGCTTCAAATCGGGCCACTCCTTTGGTAAAATATGATTATGGATATCAACCTTCATCCTTGTGATTACCCTCAGGGATATTGGAGATCTGCTTCCAGTGATCACTTGCATTAAGTGAAAACCGAGCAAATTCACTCTCCGCCCTCAGTCAGAAACCAATGACCGACAGGTTAGTGACTGCTGCAGTGACAGCCTGGTCATTCATTACCCAGTCATTACAGCAGGAGATAAGTTATTGGTGTGTGAAGCCAATATAATTCCATTCATAGTTGATATCAAAACCATAACACTTCTACTAACACCCTACCACACCTCATCCACTAAGACAGATGGCTGCCTGCTTCCTGCTGACTCATAATTAGGGCTAATAGCTCTATCTTTTACAGTGGCACGTTGTTGCTCTGTTCTATACGACGGAGGACCTTTTCATAGTCGCGCATTTTTGTCGCCACCTAGTGGCTGATCACGAAAACATTGAGTCTCATTGCTCGAAGTCAAATGTTTGTAAAAAAACAAAAAACTTTAAAGGCACTTCTCTGTTAAACTACTAAAATGCATTTGATGACACGATATGGTCATGTAGACTTAAACAAACTCCTACAAGTTATTTAGTGAGCCTAATTATTTAAAATATACTGCCTTTGGAGTTTTCATCAAATATTATGTGCTACTCGTTTAAATCACACAACTTTATCAATCCCTCTGGTGGCATGTGGTTGGATGTTGTAATTAAAACATAAAAAAATTAAACATAAAAAGAAAGATAGATATATCAGAGGGAAAAGTTAAAATATGAAATATCAACAATACAAACTTCTGAATGAGTAGACTGGCATATTTGACAGGCTAAAAAGGTCTTGATAAACAATGCCATATGGGTTTGTATGTTAAATAAACAATGTAAGAAATATTTTTTTAATAAAAACTTTCTCTTATAGCTATTTGTAACATTAAAGTCACACGCTTGAGAGATTCATTCGTGTTAGAAAGTCACTTTTCCTGTCATGCAGTGGCCTGTGATGTTTTAGGAGATGAGCTCTGAGGGGAGGAGAGAAGGAGGAATGGGAGGAGGAAAGAGAAACTTGCTGGCACCGCCTGTCAGATTCTCAGCAGATCCCAGCAGTTTATCACATCGCCGCATCTAACCCTAAACTGTCTGTAAGTGGTTCAGCTGGGCGGAGTGTTTACTGAGGCTGCAGAGCTGCACTGTGGACTTTACGCACAGGGAGTTGGTTGGCTGCTGATGCTGGGGAGATAAAAAAATAGAAATACACCTTTTATCTGCCATCTTCTCTTATCGCCATCTCTCCTTTTGTCCACTTCTTCGCAACTGAGTCGACACCGGTGGCTTATTGGACGCGCTGGATGGCTGCTGCACTCAGCGAACCGGCGTGAATCTTTTTATCTCCATCATCATCTTTCTCTGCCTTGGCGCCTGAAAACAAACCAGCAACTGCAGCAACAATGACAGACCCGTCAACCCAGGAGTCCTACCCTGTCCCAGACCCGACTATCGTGGGTCCATGCCCGGCCACAGTGCGGAACGGCCAGTGCGCCCCGGATGGCTTCACCAACAACCACCATCAGCAAACCAAGACCTCCAGCCAGCCCGAGGCGTTAAACACGGGCCAGGAGATGAAAATCACAGACAGTGTGGAGGGAGAAGGTAACTTTATCCATTCCTGTCATGATTTTAAAAGTTGCCTGCGTGTGGATGTGTGTGCGTTAGGGGGGCTGAGATGATGGGAGGGGTATTTTTACCCGTTGGAGATATTTTTAGTCTCTCAATTGAATAATTTATGATCGTCCTACATCAGCAGGATTCATGTTGGAGCGAGGCAAAAGTTGAGTTAAATTGTTAAACACTGTAAAATTGATTAAAGTCTCCAAAGCTTTTGATTCATTCATTTCATAATATTTTGCTGCTGAGGACAAAGTTGTCTGTGTGCTTGTTTGCACACTGTCTCCCAGACTCGCAGTCATGTTTCAAAGATTGACTTTGGTACCAGCCACAGGCTCGCCAAACTAACCCTTACTTATGACCTTGTATTTGGTTCAACAAATGTGAGAGTGGGGAATTCCTACTAATATAATCCAAGTCATAATTTATGCAAAATGCAGAAAACCAGTGATGCAGTACATTCCACACAACAAGAGGGCCTCTGTTAAACAACAGTTCACATCCTAAACCTGTTTAGGCAGGCAGTTTGTTTAAGACCTGCATATTTACAGGATTTTAGACCAAGTTAACATTGTGTGATTAAACTAATGTAATTAAGATCTTGTGATAAGATCTTAATTACATTACATACATTATTAAGTGATAACAATATCTGGAATGATTATTGAATGCTGTGTTGCTATGTGGTTTGCTTGTAGAAGATGCAGTCAACCGACAGCATCAACCTTAAAAGATGAACAAAAAGGTCCCATTGATGGATGATGGATAGATGCTTTAGGCAAGATAAATTTGGCTTCACTTTGAATGGGTTAAAGATGTTCTAAGCTTTAACTGGCTTTAAATGACCAATCAGATGTCAGATAATGCATTTTATAATACACAGGGTTTATGTTAGTACAAAAAAAAACTAAAACTAAATTGACAATAATGCAACTTTACACATTCTTGCATTTGAATTTGATTATTTTTCAATTGTGGCGCCCCCTCTGGACAAAATCTGTAACACTTAGGTAGACATGGAAGATGGACTTGAGCTTGTATCGCGCTTTTCTAATCGTCTGACTACTCAAAGCACTTTTATCACCACAGGTCACACCTACACGTTCACACCACATTTACGCACGGATGGCAGAGGCTGCTATGTAAAGTGTCCATCAATAATAATTCAAAGCAACGGGAGCAACTTGGGGTTAAGTGTCTTGCCCAAGGGCACATCGGACATGTGGTTGTTGGAGCTGGGGATCAAACCCTTGACCTCCAGGTTAAGAGACGACCGATTTTATGACTGAGCCACATCCGCTAATCTCATTTTTTACATGTAGTCCATAAATCATTTTTTCTGCTGAAAAATCTCCTCCGGCTGTCTTTTAACAGTCAATCATATCGCTCACTGTGAATTTTCGCTCTGGAAAATGTAGGGAAATGCTGTTTCTGCAGCATGCTGTAAGGCCCTGTCTTCCCCTACAGCATTTTTTCGCTCAGGAGCGCTTGCATGAAGCGTTTGTGCGCTGAGAAGATGCTGCACGTCCGTCCTGTCTCTATGACAACAGTCTGTTGACAACAGCCTCTGTATGACCGACACTGCTCTGTTGGTTTTTACTGTATGTTTTATAGTTGAGATCATTTTTTTCTGGATCAGAAGAGGATGTGGGAGAAAACACGATCTGTAAAAGACAAAAATTCCGGGAATATCTTATATCTGGAAATTAGCGAGAAGTTGAAAGAGTTTCAACTTGAGCGCTTGGAGCAGCCGCACAAAAGCGGGTATATGAAAACTAACTCTACAAATCATCAATCTTGTAGCTGATGGTCATGTTTGATTGTTTAGGTCACATAGAAGCATCAGTTATCATTTCAGTCTGTTTAATAACCAGTTACAAACTCTTCAACAGAACTCAGTAGTCACAACTACATCTTTGTAGGAGGTCTCCAAACCCAAACAAACGCTGATGACATCACTATGACATCACATGGATTATTTAGTATAGTTTGACCGTCAGTGAGCGGTCGTCGCCCTAGTCGTTGAGAGGAATCTCTCTGATTGGCTGTTCGGTGGTTTCATTTATCTCCAGCTCTGGACACAGGTTCAGGAAAGCCCCTTGAGCATGCCGCTGTGGTATCCGTGTAGTTTTTTAGATCTCTGAAGGCAACAGACTCCACAGTTGATATGAAGCACGTCGCGGACAACATACCTGTCTATCAGTATATAGTCCGGCTTTTAGATTATGGGGCAGGTGGTGTTTTATAGCTGGCTGTTGGTGAGAAATGTCTCCTTCTTGGTCTTCTGAGCTAACGTGAGCTTCACCACATGGGTCTCCGATGTCTGCAGCATGCGGCTCTCTGACAGCTACTTTAGTAAAGCGTTAAGCTCAATACGTCGTTCTTCCTGTCTACACACAGACTACATCTCACTGCTATATTCTTGTCGTTTAAATTGAGCAGGGGAAAATAATGTTGGTATTTCCGAGACAGAAAGCTCACAGCTGAATGATGACCTGTCTGTGTTTGTCTCCAGCGCAAAATGTTCTTTCTCCCAGAATGCTACTGTGCTGAAGTTTAGTGTAACCTCGCCCGCTTCTTGTTGTCGCCTGTTTCACATAAAGTAACGAGCAAATTTCATTCATTATGACTGAAATATTGAATCTGAAAAGTAAGATACCGGTAATAGTAGTGACGTTACAATAATGCGTTAGTTCCAAACACTGATCAGCAGACATCGAGGATTACTTTTTCTTTGCAGCTACTAAAATAGATGTAGAAACACCAAGCTTTAAACAAACTCACACACACATATTTCAGCACATTATATTTCACACATTCACCCCCCCCCCCGGTCTGCCTCCCTCCTCCGCTTTCCTCATTTCTCTCCTATTTACATAAAAGTCACTGCCATTACTGTGAGGAAACGGCTGCAGTCTTCTGAGCCTGCTCCTCTTTGCCAGTGTTTCTGTTTATCTATCTATTTGTTCATCTGTTAGTTAAGATTTAGATATGATTGTACATTTAAGCCAAATAGAATTCAAGTAAAAAAGCTCATAAGGTTGAGGAATTGAAGAGTTATAATCTCTGTTTAGGTCAGACTCCAGCCTGGAGTTTTGTACTTAGTTATGTGCTTTGTGGCTTTTTCTATTCTTGTAAATACTTCTGTATGTGTGGAAAGTGTGGAGTCATTAGAGCTGATGTTATTTTTTTGAGAAACAAAGGTGTGACAAGGAGAGAAATGAGAAATCCACCCACACAAACATGTGCGTGTTACAAAGAGATGCATGAGGAGATGTTGAGCACATGCCTCCCTGTCTGATCCCTCAGCCAGCGGTCATGTGAGCAAAGTGATTTAAGCATGATGTCTCACTTCCCCCTCTGCCATACTACACTCACACACACACTCAGAGGCACACACGCTGGTCAGTTAGTCTAGAATGGTTCCAACAGACTGTGCACTCTGTTTTTCCTCCAAGTATAAATCTCAGCCAGCAAAGTAAAGGAGGAAAGGAGGATTTGTTAACACACACTTTACTTGTGCTCTGACCATGACTGGTTTGGAAGCTATGCTAATGTCCATAGAAAATCACCTTAAGATCTTATAATAGCATGTCGAGCCAGAGGTCATAAGAGGTGTATTGTGCAATCGGGAAATGTCGGGAATTCTATCGCACTACTTGAACTTTCATAGTTGAATATGATGCAGACTTTTATTTGGAACATATTCATGAGCAGCCAAAGTCCAACAACTTACAAACTTCATTCTGACTTCTAATTCTTCTAAAGTATAAATTTACACTCACAAACTCAAAAATGTTGGATACTTTTTTATCACCATGTGTTCTGAACCAATACAATCTTTTTTTTTTTAATGATTAATAGTTGGCTATCAAAAAGTACCAAAGCTTAAAAAAAAGATCTCATGTTTTAAAACCAAAGCTGCTGTGAGTGAAAGCGAGAGAGACCAGATGTGGGCCATTCAAAATTCTCAGGTCAGCAAATACTGATGTTTCTGAAATCATTTTGGGGTCTCATAAAGTTGCAGAAGTTTGTTGCATCTCTCATCCAGAGCAGAGGAGGAGTCAGCAGAAAGGACTTAGTCGAAGTTGCACACACATATCGGCAATGTTTCAATGAGGAAATGTCGCCAACACACTTGTGTAATTGACATAGTGTGCAGGAGTTAGCTTGTAGTTTTTGTTATTAAAAACATAAAATCATTTGATAGACCGACTATCGTTATCGAAGTTCAAAATTCTGGTATCATGACAATCCTATGACAAACTGGGGCTCACTAACATGAGTCTACATTACCTCACGTACACACACACACACACACACACACACACACACACGCACACACACACACACACAAAAGACACGGCTACAAAGTGTGACTTAATTTCCTGCCTTTTCAGCAATCTGATCTTTCTCTTCACCCTTTTGGATTCATTTTTGATTCCCATTAAGAACAAGACATGTGATTTCCTTTGATTTTCAGTCCTCTGAGAAATTAGTTCTGGCCAGATGAAGGGATTGCACAACAACTTGATTTATAAAGTCAAGAGGTGAATGAGTGTTTGCTGTAAGCACGTGCCACTATGATCAAAAGGTTGGTTGTGGTGTTTTTTTTCCACTGCATGTCAACACATTGTTCATGTTTTAGTGAATTACAAGTGAGAATGACACTGAACGTAATGGATTATAAAGCCAAGGCTGCTAAGTATGCACCCAACTAAAGACGTGAAGTTTTAAGTCCTCAAAGAGATTTTCTCAGTAAAGCTACAATCTGCTTAGAGTATTTGGCAGATTTCTTTAGTGATTACATTCAAACTTTTTTGCCTCCCACAGTGACACGCAGAGGTAGGCTACTGGAGTTGTACATTTTGACACAGTGCAAGTGTATTATTTTACAGATGAGACTCTGGTGTATGTGTGGGGCTGGATACAAAGTTGTGGCTTGGAGTTTTCTGAATTAAACAAAAGTCGGCTGAAGTATTACCGTACACGGCTTAGAGAGCAAACTCTGGCAGACTGTCAGAAACTGTTGGCAAGGTTTTTCGCTGGTGGGAAGCTGGTGAGGGATCATATTCTAGTAACAGCACCAATTCCCTCTGGATGCTCTGTCTGCATTGTCTCCTTCTGTCTACACCCACTCCAGACAAACAGTCCCAGTTAACATGATGCATGCAGGGTCAACGTGGCCCACACTGTGAAAGAAAAAATAAGAAAATCTAAGTATTTAGAAAATGTTAAAGGGCTATTTTCATCACAATGTTTTGAAAAATGGAAAGCTTTTCAAATGAACCGAGCTCATGGTTATTTCAAGTTAACTTAATAATAATAATAAGTTATAATAAGGACGTTGTGACAAAAAAACATCTCATTAATATTAAAGAGTTTTTCTACGTTAGAGAAGTCACATGAAGCACTTTTGACACAGTGCAAGTGTAGCACATAATACACTTGCACTGTGTCAAAATGTACAAATCACATGAAGCACTTCTTTGTTGAAAAGAGAAATTCTCATTCATACTACTGTATGAATGAGAATTCTTGGAAGATTCTATTTGTGCTTGACCCATACTTGGAATAAAGCCATAAAGAGTTAGAAAGGAACACTACAAATAAAAAGCAGGATAGCTCGGCCTCTGCTGCTGCTCTTTTATTTCTACAAAACTTTTACAATCCGTCTTTTGTGGATCCTTCAATTCATGGTGTGTCATGAAGTGAAGCACGAAAACGCTGTAGTTCTCCTTAAACTCCTAAAACAGTCAGATTTGGCACAAACATGTGACTTTTGAAGCTCTCTATCAGCTGTTGTTTCTGGCAGAATTCCAGATACCAATAACAACACACACACAACACACACACACAACACACACACACACACACACACACCACACCACACACACACACACACACACACACACACAGACATACACCTCCTCAGCCCCCAATCATGCACCCTTTTGGCCTGGAAGTCACATCATACTGTTTCTAAAAATGTGTTAGTTTTTGTTGTTCAGTATCAGGTGGTGGCTCACAAAGTTGTCTCTGTCTGATGCAGAGCACTGCTGTTTTGTCATGGATCAAGCTAAAGCACAAAATTCAAGGTTCAGGTGTGTTTGAGTTTGTGCAGATCTTCAAGCAGTCGTTCCAGGTGATTCCTGTGGATCAAAAGATGTGGCAAAAAAATAACTTGAAACATGGAAAACTTTTATCAAAAGTGACCCAGTTTGGTTGGTTTTCACAAGGTAGAAACAGGGCAAAGTTCCCAGGGACACTCAAAGTACATCAGTCAGTAAAACAATTTCAGGAGCAAGGGCAGAGGCGTTTTTTTTGTGCATGGTCTTGTACAATGACAGACTTGAGCACCTTCTCCCACGGCTAGACACCATATCACTGCTGTGTTAATTTGAGTCAAAATTAACCAAATAAGACAATATTGTTTACCTCAATATATTCAACAAATATTCCATTCTAACAAATTAAAGACATTTATTTCATTTTAACACGATGACACACAAACACACACAGGGCAATATTTGCACTGCAAAAACTCAAATCTAGCATCTTTGCTAAATATCCAATCGAAAATATCTCATTACACTTATCATAAGTCAGATTCACCTGACAAGTTCAGATAAAAATATTATTTGAAGATAAATAAAGCAAACAGGGGGTCTGAAATGTTTGTAATCAATCGAAAATATCTCATTACACTTATCATAAGTCAGATTCACCTGACAAGTTCAGATAAAAATATTATTTGAAGATAAATAAAGCAAACAGGGGGTCTGAATGTTTTAATAAGTAAAAAAAAAAGATCTACCAATGGAGCAAAACATTTTGAAAGTCCTCATGAGAAAGAACTTCATGAGTATCTTACTGCTGTGCTGTGACATATTCCCAACTGGAGCTGGATAGAGCCAATCACTAGATAAAAGGCGGGACATGACGTTAGGATGGATTTGATTGGATCGTTAGCTGTGACAAAGCTTTTTTTTATTGGTGAACACAATCAGTAAACGCCCCTGAGTGCAGAATAAGTAATCATATATTTGATTAATCTTTTTATAGGAAGAGAAAATACAGTTAATTTGATGTAAAAGTATACTCAGATAATGCTTTATCGAAATATATTAGGCAGATTAATTAACATTCAACCCAGGAATGCTGGATTTAAACCGGGAAAATGTGTTTTTATCCGCTTGTTTTTGTGGAATATATTGTCTGGAAAGCAAACACCTTCAGTGGCTCAGGACATTTCACAGGCGACACACTACGTCATTGGTGGGTAGAATGTCGACAGATAACGTTAAAAGCTCTTTCGGGTGGAAAGGTTCAGGGTTATAAATATTGCATGAATCTGCAGTGCCTCGCTTCATAACAATGGAAGAGCTTGGGGCTGTTATGTCTGTGACTTCAGGCGAAGACTTCTCACACAGAAACAAGCCTCTGAGACGTTAGGAAATGTATGCTAATTGTATAACTGAGCAACGGAAATGTGCCTTACATAGCAACTGAGATTAAAGCAGAATGTTCTGGTCCTCAAAATCAGTCGATACAAAAGATGTTGGGTGAGATATTCTGGGAATTTGATTTTCTTTGATTGTTTTTTTAGTTATCTCCAATTTTCTTTGTAATATAGTTAGTGGGAGGACTATTTTATACAGCTCATGAACAATGTAGCAGAAGGAGTCCAGCATTGTGCAGTGATTCAGGTTCACTGTGTCTGTTTTTGGACTTCTCTTTAAGTCTGTGAAGGTCAAGTAAAGGAAGTTTATCTTGACACACAGTCCCTGAGCTATTCTTCAACTCTCAGCTATAAGCTGCAGTATAACAAGGGTCCCCCAGGTATTACACTGCGCTTTGAGGCACTGGGTGTAAATATCCAGTAGTTTGGTAATGTCTTAGGAGGCTGTGAATAACTATATGTTGGAAAGATGCACAGATGGTTGAAGAAAAAGCTCATGTGATGTTTAAAAGAATGATATATACCAGGAAAGTTTCAAGGCAACTTATTTCAAAATGATTAAATGTAGACAAAAAAAAATTTGGAGTATCGTTTTTCTTGTTCAAAATGATTAAATGCTCATTTAAATTCAGACTAGTGGACAAATATAAAAATACATAAAAGAGGGAAAAATGTAGCACAATTTATTTGACACAGCTTAATACTGGATCACAGCGTTAGCGGGTAAACAATTCCAAATGTGCTTTCAGAGCGTGGCTAACGTTAGCAGTGCTAGCACCCCGAGCCATCAGTCCTTCCTGCAGGTTAATGACCACACGCCTGCGCTGAATGTGGTTATACATTGCTCTGGTCTAGTGGTTATATACCACTATATAAGCTTACAAAGCCTCATTACAACTCTTTCTCAATTTTCTAGCTCAAAATACTGCCAAACTGCGCTGCTCCTAAGAGATGCTCTCTGTACACTGTGCTAGCTTACATCTTGGCAGTAGAGCATTATGGCAGCAGACTAATTAGAGCTACTGCCCTAGTTCATGGCAGGCAGCAGCTTACATACAACATTTGACCGCCTTTGTGGGCCTGAACTAATAAAAACATCAATAATGAATAGTAAATCTGGTGTCGCCAAATTAGGGTTATGACGTTGAATCGTTTAGTCGGCTAGTGTATGTTCCTCACTCCATTATAGGTCTATTTGGCTTTTTGTAGTCGGTTGATTATAAAATATCAGTTCATGGAGCATTTTTGTAGCAGAGCTTGACCTCTGACCTTGAAATAGCCATGTGAAAATGTATTTTTTACTATAATATTAAGGTTATGAAATGTAAAGATGTGGTTGTCTCTCTGGTTGCGTACCATGATCACATAATTCAAACAAAGAACATAACTAAACACATACAAATGAAAAAGAGGAGTGTTGTTGTAACAGAGTTTTTGTGTCTCCTTGCAGGTCTTCTTGAGAGCAGCATGCGCCTGAAACCCCACGAGGCTCAGAGCTACAGAAAGAAGGCTCTATGGGTGTCCTGGGTCTCCATTGTGGTCACTCTCATACTGGCTGTGGCAGCTTTCAGTAAGTAATTTAAAACACTCATTCATGGGCATGCAGCATGGACAGAAGTGAATGGAGTTACTCTGACAGAACTGACTGTGGCACTTTGTTTCTCAATCCCCTGTTGACTCAGAAAAGATGTCATCATCTTAACGTCTGTTTAAATAGTGGTGCAAACATGTGGATGTCCCTGTACCAGACACTTGAAGACCAAGGAGCAGGAGCGAAGAGTACACTAATGAGTTTGGTCCTTATACCTCACAAAAAAGTCCAACAATTCAAATAAATCCAATAAAGGCAAATGCAAAAATTGTAATCGGACAAAACAAGCCGAGTCAAAACTGTGAATATCCAAAACTAAAAAATACTTGAAAGGGATGCACATGCTGGGTTACTAAAACAATCCAGCAACTGAGGTGGGAAAACAATGGAGTCTATGAACTGGCTGACTAGTGAGATAATCATAAGCAGGTGAGAGGTGAGGACAAGTGCAAGGGACAACTGAACACATTAAGGCAGGAACTGAATTGACAGGAAATGTAAGATTTCAAAATAAAACAGGTAAAGTACTTTACAAAATTGACTCATAGTTACAGAAGAGGATTTTACAAATATCTCTCCTACAATGTTGAGTAGGCTTAGCTATCGATGACCTAAGTTAGGTTTTTTACAAAGGTAAAAACTGCACTTGGTATTTTCTTTGAGCTAAGATCACCAGCGCAACATTTGATTCAAAAGAATACAGTCCTCATTAACTCTTAGTTACATAGAATATGTGAACAGTACATCAATAAAAACTCATGAAACAACAATAAGCAAGATGACTTCATGGCTAATAGCGCATTAAGGACACATTTGCTACACTTTCCTCCAAAGTGTCTGAAGATCTGCATCTGTGGCATCTTCAGAAGATGCCCTTTTATTCAGTTATAAAATAAGTGTTACTAAACTTTCGCTCATGTGATCTGTCACTAATTTTGAAATCAGTATATGATAATCAGATCACACATTTTCTGAGGCAGTATAACATTGAGCATGTGCCTTTCCCCGACAATGACCTGATGACAGTCAAAAAGGAAAATGAATGATTCATGCCTGTTATTATTCAAGGCTGAGAAGATTAGATGTCTTTGCAGAGAAAAGTCCTGTTGTTGTCAGGCGGTGCTGACCTTTCATGCTTTCTGTTTCGAACATTTGATTGTAGGGGTAACAGGGTGTGAACTAATGCAAGTTCAACAGTTGTAAAATGTCACTGGTGTTTGTTGGATTGAAAATAATTACCAAAAATAAATCAAAGAAAATGAACGAGTGGATGAAAGTAAAAGACACAAATCATGAAGTTTTATAAAATAAGAGACAATAATATTAGAATGTGTATTTTGAATAAAATAGAACTGTATTTGTCCACAGTGCGGTCAGTTGACTTAAGTTAAAGCTAAACAGCCAAACTCCTTGATCTTATGACCGATGATCCAAAACCGTGTTAATTAACTATGTGTCCAACTGTAAAACGGATAATCCTCCTTTTTAAGTTATTTTTTTGAGGCCATTTTTGCGTTTATCAGATAGGACAGCAGAAGAGAGACAGGAAATGTTGGGCGGAGAAATTGGGGGGTGACATGCAGCAAAGGGCATGGATCGGATCCCAACCCACGGCCATTGCGATGAGGACCATAGCCTAAGTACATGGGGCGAGCAACATAACCGCTTGGCAAGCCGGCGTCCGGATCCCCAACAATGTAATGGCTCCAAAGCTTCTAATCATTTATTTGACATAGACTAAGACCCTGAAAGCAAAGTTATAGTTTCAAGTAAAGGACAGAAGTTTTGTACCAATAAATTGGCCACACATGTACACGTGTATTGATGCATGTCGTCAATCAATCAATCTTTTTTTGTTTGGCGCAAATTCAGAACAAATGTTATCTCAAGACACTTTACAAAAGAGCAGGTAAAAGACCTACTCTTTCTTATATTATGTGACAAAGACCCAACATTAATTCATCATGAGCACTAAGCAACATTTAGCAAAGTAAGAGTGGCAAGAAAAAATGACCTGGCAGAAACCTTGAGCAGAACCAGACTGATGACAAATGGTCATCTGCTGAGACTGTGTTGGGCTTGGAAAGTTAGATAGAGGGAGATGCAGGAAGTAGGATAATCTGTATATTGACCAAGTACTGTAGTCTGAAAATTCATCTAACCAAAATCTTACTCTTTATTTAAGAGAAGAATGCAAAAAACATAATTTCTGAGCTGGAAGTCCATTTCTGATTTGACATGATAAATATTTAATAATTGAACTTTGGAGCTGAATCACACAACAACATGATTTATAGTAAAAAAATATTTGTTTCTCCTTTGTAGTCTGCATGAAGATTACCCTTTAGAGCTGCATCAACGTTTCCTCTGTGATCCCTCTGATGTTGTGCAATGATGTAGCAATGGTTTCATCACACGTTTTCTTGTCCTATGATATAGAGGATGTTTTTCATACACTGTGCTATTGTGGATGCAACACAGAATGTTGCTTTGTCATCCTGGCTAAACATAAACTTTCATTCACAATGTCTCCATATTCATTTAAACATTTAGTCTGATCTGAGGTAAGCTGACTGAGACCAAACTCACTTATTTAAAGTGTTTTAAAAATTGGGTTTTAAAAGTTGATTGCATAGACTCTGCAAATAACCACATGAAATATAATGAACTATGTCAAGCTGTGAAAAAACAGTTTGTGTTGTGCCAAAAAAGTGCATATTATTCCATTTTATACAGGATTGTATCAAACATTTGCTTTAGATAATAGCTAATTTTATTATGGGCAGCTGTGGCTCAGTTATAGAGTCGTCGTCATCTCCCAACCGGAAGATCAGGGGTTCGATCCCCAGCTCCTAAAGCCAAATGTCCTTGGGCAAGACACTTAACCCCAAATTGCTTTGTCAGTTGCGTGTAAATCTGTATGAAAGTGTATGAATGTGTATGAAGGGATTAGTTAGTTCTGATGGATAGCAGCCTTTGCCATCAGTATGTGAATGAGGGTATAGAAAATAAACCCTCGATAGATAATACTCAAAATTCCTTCTAGTTTCTCCTGAACCTGCAGAATTTCATCATGTCTTCGAGCTCATTGATTGTGTTGATTTTATTTTACCGGTATTGTTTACTCTCCCACTCTCTCATAGTGGTTTGTTTCAGATTAGATTAGAAAAACTTGATTGTTTTCTACAACAAGCAGCGAAGCAGCTCTCAACATGTACAGCATGTTAAAAAGTAAGCGACTATAATGTGAACACAAGTGATAACCAGAATTTATATTAGGCCTACGTTACATCTGGTGGCCATAATCACAACCTCCAATGAAAATTACAAAAAGGCTCCTCCTTATATGGTGAAAACTCACATCTGTATAAGTTTGCCCTGTCCATTTAAAAACAGAATGTAAATGTGTTGGTTTGCTTCCATGGCGTCCTAGTGGCAGAAAATCTGCAGCAGCAGCAACAATAAAATAGACTTTCATAAAATGAGAAGTGATAAAAATGATGTAGGTGATGATGATGATGGTGTGTTTTAGGTTCCCATGCACGAATTCTTACTAGACGCTGTTGTGAGTTTGTTATTGAAAATCAATACAGCCCTTGGTGAATACAGAACCTTTAGTTTGTGCTTGACATTTTTTATTTCATATTTTTGATCTCACTCAGTGAAACCACAACAACGAAGCAATTGAAAACAGGCTCTGTTAAGTATAAAAATAGAAACTGTTCTTCTGTGTTGCTGTGTGTGTTTGCCTTTGGAACCAGTCTCTGTTGACATCTGTTCAACAAACGATGACCCACGAACACAGCAACCCTTGAAGACTGAGGGAAGTGTCCCAGTTTAGGGAGGTAGAAGAGAATGGAGGTACAGGTACAACAAAGTGCAGACCTATTAGAGAACTTTATGGTGGGACTTGTTGAGGAAATTATAAATGTATGCAAGGCTTCTGTCATCAGCCAGCATGGTGATAAGTGAAAGAAAGCCGAGGGAGCAGAGTGAGTGAAAGACAGATGGATGTGGAGTTGTGGAGTGAAGCTCTGAAAGGTGCGATGTTACCAGGGGACGAGGCAGGATGAGTCCTGGCAGGCAGTGTTTGGGATATGGTGGTTGTGATGGCTCAACTTGAAAGAACAGCAGCGTACTGTTTCCTCCCACCTGTGCCCTAGTTTCTCTCCAGTAACTCTCAGTCTCGCCATCCCACCAGGTTTTATCTGGAACGTCCGGTCAGCTTGTTTCCTTAACCTTTTACTTTCTTTACCTCCTCTTTATGTTCTCACCGTATCCATGCCTCTTTGCCCCCCCCCTCTTTATCTTGTCTCTACTTCTTTATCTGTTTTTTTTTTCCTGTGTCTGTTACTTTCTCTGACCTTTAGCAGTATTTAACATTTAGCACGGTAAAAGGTTCAATGCTGATCCTTTTCCTCTCTTCTGTCTATTGTGTCGACTCGGGAATGTCTCGGTCAGAAGTGCTCGCCCATGCTAGCTAGAAAAAAAAAAACGTTTTTGAGAAGCTGTCTTTTTGTGCTCTCTTTGCTCGCTATTCACCTGTGAGAGCGTTTCAAGTCCTCTAGGTTCATCAGACATGAAGAAAACTTAAAGAGGTACAAGAGGGTAAGTTGTTTTTCTGTATTTAAGTCTTTAAACTGGAAAGCAGGCAGTCATGGTAATCAATGAAGATGACCAAAGACAGTGATAAGCAAGCTGACATCACATTTCCTGATTTATTGATCTGTAACACACCTAAGCACCCACAGACAGAGGTTTTAGCTGTAGACTTTCATGTGCATGGAGTGAGTATAAAGCCTTTACCAGATATATTATAAATTCATCATATGAGGAAAAACAAAAAAGACTTCCATGATTCTTTGCCGTACTGAAATAAAAATAAATAATCCAAAGTGATAGAGCAGCAGACACAACCAACCGCCCACTTCTGTTTATTTCTGTTGTTTTATGCAAATTGGTGTCTGAGAGCAGAGACT